CTGAAAGAGTGTGTGTTGAAACGCCTGTGGTCTAGATTGGCATAACGTGCGCACAATCTTAGTGATTCAGACAGATGTGCCCTGTTTACTGGTGTACCAGTTGGAAATACAAACTATCGACCTTCCACTTTGGGGCGAATTTTTCCGTATAGGTGTAGTGCTTTCACAGGGCACAGGCAGCTTCCACGATTTTCCTTAAGTACATATTTTGGATGTGGACCTAGTTCCGTCACCTCTGGATGCACATCCTGTCTCTTATACACATCTAGTTTATCCTTATGAAGTACTATGTTGTTGGACGTTAGCGCATGTTCAAGAGTTTTCGTAGCAACAATTTCGCTGGCTCGTAGGCAGGCAAAATAGCATGTTAGAAGCTTTATAGAAAGTGAAATCCTAACGCGAAATGGTTGCGAATTGGAGGTTCTTTATTCGTTTAGTGAAAATCTGTGTAGTGATTGGTAGCCGAGTGAAAGTGGCAGACTGCTGTAGTTTTAGTTTTGAGGCTCATCTACACAGAATGGTCAATTTTGTCGAGACTGTCGGATCCTCCATGTAAGAAATCTTGTGCATGAATGAAATTGCACTAAGGTAGGTTTTAACGGTAGAGACTGCAAGTCCAGATTTTATCAAATAGCACACGTAAAGGGATAAGGCTTGTTGGGTTGATGGCATACGTAACGGTAGGTTATGTCGTCGTACAAAGTGACGAAAATGTGTCCATTGCTTGATGTAAGACTTAGCAGTGTCTTTTGCTAACGATCCCCAGGTAAGTGTCTGTTCAAAGGAACGAAGTTCTCTGGTAGCAGGTGTGCCGGAATTTGTAGAGGATGCGGCTGCATGTTGCTCTCTTTTAGTAGCTTTCCTGTTACCTGAAACAGAGACAGTACATCACACAAAATGTTCTTTTTTCCTGGTATATGTCTGGACGTGAGGTTTATATTGTTAACAAGCGGAACAAGCACTATGGGGCGAACGATATGCATAACACTGTCATTGCTTGAGGATGTGTAGAATATAAACTTTATCTAGGTTATCACTGTGAAAAAAAACATGAGTGTTTGCTAACTGTTTTGCAAATATTGAGAGCATGATAAATATAGGATACAACTCAAGAATCATGATGTCAAAGGATTAAATAACGATGGCCAGGTACCTTGTATCCATTGATTATTGAAGGTTGACACATAACCGACCGGCGTCGTAGTAGAAGTGTAAACAATTTGAGTCTAATCTATAGGGCATTTTTATGAGGGTTGTTCCGTTGTATTGGAACAAAAAATTAAGCCAGGTCTTAAGGTCGTCTTTTGTACCCTGTGTGAGTTTTACACGACTGAATGGGGATGTCTTTCCTGTAGTGAGGCGGGTGTATAAGAGGCAGTAATAACACAGGTCGAAAATTGTAACTTCCCAATTAATGACTGCAATTCGTTAAGTGTTATTTCATCTACAGAAAGAAGTTTCTTAATCTCAACTGTGTAGCGTTTCAACTTATCTAGGGTAAGCCGTGCTTCCAATTTACATGTGTCAAGATGTAAGCTTTGTAGGTGAAGCCACTCTTAAGTGTAAACTTAGTCATAGACCATACCAATTGGCCGTGACGATCGTTAAGCGCACACACATGGTTAAAAAATCTATCTAGAGGATGCTATTTTTTCATACTTCTCAATTACGAATTTTCTTAATTACGAACGCATTCTAGACCAAAAGGG